AGCCAGAGTAAATTGATACGGTGGAGAAGCTGTTACCCAAGCAGCAGGTCCCCCCTCCCTCTCCACGGCGCTGAAAATCTCCAATGGAAAGGCTAACACCAATACGATTGGGTCCAGCGCCATCGCAGGAACTGCCAGAACGAGGTTGAAGGCTACTACGAACTGCCCTCGGGGGCTCTTGCTCCGGCGTTCACCTCGAAGTTGGTTAAAGAAGCCACAGGGACTCCAAACCCGGAGACCGCCGTGGTCGGGGCCGGAGAAGAACCACCCCAGCAAGGGCAAGAACCACCGCAACTACATCATTAATCAACATTATTATCACCACCGTCAATATTGTCATTCCCGTCATGATCCCAGGTAAAGGATATGTTGGAGTGGGCTTCGTGTCGTACCAAGAACAAGAAGATCATTAGCTAATCTCTATGTGAAGTCTCTTAACGAAGCCCCGGACGACTGGTGACCGGAGTATTGTTCACATGATAAAACTGGTTGGAAATGTTAAATATGGGGATGAGGAGGTGATTGGGGGGTGTTGGTGGAGAGGGGGAGCGTTGGTGACGGGGTGTTGTGGGAGATTGTTGGTGAAAATTCATAGTGTAAGGGAGGTATGCAGCGTTGGAGTTGGAGAAGGAAGGTGCTCTGACTCCCTCCATCCTTCCCCTTGCCTTCACTGGACATGCCATTGGTCGTATCTCATCAACACGTGGTTCACTTGCTCCATTGAGTCGAGCACCAGGCGTGGTGTGTACTCACCTATTTGTGCTTGCGGGGGTTAGGCTTTGGCTCTTTGGTCCCGCCTCTCAACTGTCAATCAACTGGTGTACAGATTCCTGAGCCTACTGGGACTCAGGAATGGTGGAGGCTGACTCCATACCTGTGTATGGAGTCAGCCTCCACCAAATCACTGCCTAATGCATTCTGGTCCGCCTCGCCACGGACCAGAGTGGAGATTGTGACGGGTACCAGTCCTTTGTGAAGCCAGCTGGAGAGGCGCAAAGTTTGACTCGCACACCTTTGGCGACACCTATTTGAATCCTGTCCAAGTGGCTGCGAGTCCCCTTCCGCCTAGCCTGAATCCTGGGACGGGAGGTGGGAATGATTATCACCTTTCTCATTCTGTCTCTCTCTCTCTCTCTCTCTCTCTCTCTCTCTCTCTCTCTCTCTCTCTCTCTCTCTCTCTCTCTCTCTCTCTCTCTCTCCCAAATGTCAGTGCCTTCCAATATTGTTTTGAGTCGATCACAGGAAACTTCCTCACTGAGATGAGACTCTCAGTGGTCTCCAGGACCTGATAGAAGACTCGGTGGTCTCCAGGACCCGATAGAAGACTCTCAGCGGTCTCCTTGAGAGAAGGAGCTTGAGGTTAGGTGCTAAATTCCCGCCGAATCGGTCCGTGAAGTCACTTGCCAGCCGTTAATGTCTCGCCTTTCACCACCTTCTTGGGGCTTGCGGACCCCAACTGTTGAAGCTTTTTATTGTCCCCTTTCTGTGATCAGTAATTATTTGCATCATTGGTTTACTTCAATCTCCATTATACTTCTTGTTGATTATTGCCCTATCAATGTATTTTATTGTATTTCCAATTTTTAGATTTTGTTATAGTCTCTTACTATTTTAATTGCGACCCATGGTGTCATTAGCGACCCCTTATATCATAGTGTTATTATTGATGCTTATATCAATATGGTGTCATCAATACGAACCTCAAAACCAGACGTAGAATATAAACATTTGAATCATCATTGGAACGTCTGTAATCCGGTATTTATATGCTTTCTATGGAACGTTTATCCAATACTTTCCTCACGTTCATAGACGGATGTCACCCCCCGCTCCCCCTCTCACAGTATAGACGATTTAAGTGTCTTCCAGCGTTCATTTTCTTGTCATTTTCCCTTGTATTACCTTGAAAACATATTTAGTTCCGATGAAGACCGGTTCAGCGGTGAATCCCATATGGGCTTACGACGGGTCAACTCCGACGTCTTGATTCCCCTAGACCTCATATTGTTCACCTTCCTGGGCTCCCACTTGTATGCAAATGAGCTATGCGCTGAGTTAGAGCTGACTGGCGGGTAGGAGATAAGGAGGGGCGGGTAGGAGATAAGGAGGGGCGGGGAGGAGATAAGGAGGGCGGGGAGGGACTCTTGTGAATTGAAGATGAGGTTTATGAGGTGTAAATGAGAACGGCTTGTTGAATGGAACGCGGGTAATGAGAAGGATGAAGTGATTGTGAAATGAGGCCCTATCGGGTGTAGAGGGTGGAGGGGGTGTGTGAAGATGAGTTTGTGATGAGGAGGGGGAAATGAATGAGATGATTATCTGTTGGCACATGAGGGGAGTGAAATGTGAGGTAGTAGGTTGAATGAGAAGATGGGGGTAGATGGAATGAGAAGAAGGTGACAGATGGAATGAAAAGGTGACAGATGAAATGAGAAGGTGACAGATGGAATGAGGGGGGGAAGATGGCGATGAGTAGTCATCTTCTGTGAAGATACGTTCTACTCCAGCGTAGAACAAGCCTTTACTAATGCTAAAACATTCAACAGTAGCCCACACTAGCGCAGAACCAGGTGCTTACTACAGGTGCAATACAGTGAACGTACAGGTGCAATACAGTGAACGTACAGGTGCAATACAGTGAACGTACAGGTGCAATACAGTGAACGTACAGGTGCAATACAGTGAACGTACAGGTGCAATACAGTGAACGTACAGGTGCAATACAGTGAACCAACAGGTGCAATACAGTGAACCAACAGGTGCAATACAGTGAAGCTACAGGTGCAATACAGTGAAGCTACACCAGGGTAAAGCCAGGGCTTCCAGCAGCGTCATGAAATCCCTGGATATGTCTATCCCTTTATGAAGCTTATCAAGACAAGTGCTTCAGTGCCGCTGTCTTTGCAGCTTCTTGCAGCTTCTTCCAGTTTCTCTCCATCTTTCTTCTCTTCTTCAGTTTCTTCTTCCATCTTGCTCTCTGATGCCGAACTATTGGTTCATATATTCTTTTCAAATGTAAATATGTTCAATTTACATAGGTTTTGTGAGTTTTATCCATTGGGTAATGGATGATGGGTTCTATCCAGTACTGCGAGTTCTAACCTTTGGTGCGAGTTTTCAATCCCTTCCTGTGAGTACTATCCATTGTTGGGACTTCTGTCTGTTGTAACGCGTTCCATTCGTTGTAACGGGTGGCCTCTGTTGTTAAGAGCTCCATCCGTTGTAACGGGTTCTATTTTGGTTGGATTCTTTCCACACTTTGTTCATGTTCTCTCAATTCGTATCTTGAAGTCATCTGTACACTTCAGCCATATTCCCCCCTCACTCTATACCTTTCAGTAATGTAATTTAGTAAGGTAGATCTTGATGTTGTTGAATAACTTAAGCATTCTTCTTTCTTTTCAATGGAATTTATGTTAAATCTGTATTACAATGACTGTAATCTAGACATTATATTCCAAGTTAAGTTAAGTTTGGTTGGGTTGGGTTAGACTAGGCTCGACTACGTTAGGTTAGGTTGGGGTTGGGTTGGGTTAGGCTAAGCCAGGCTAGGTTAGGGTTGGATTGAGTTATTAAACATATGTTAGGCAGGGTTAGATAAAATCTAACTAGCGTTATCATTTATCTAAGACCAGGAGGCCTAGCCGACGACCGGGCCGCGGGGACGCTAAGCCCCGAAATTCTCTCAAGGAAACGACAAGGTAGCCATCTAGTATCGCGTTCATTTTCTAGATTTAGACATTATTCTGTCTGCAGTGAACGCCATTGGCGTCTTTGAATAGATTTGAAGGGTTTTGAGCTCTCTTCGTCTGAAACTTTAGTATGGACATTAATTGTTCAATATCAATGGTCATTAATGTTTGTTATGAACGATAATGGTCACAATCCAGTAACACATTGCTTGTGGGTGTTTAAGAGTGTGGTGGTGGTGGTGGTTCATTGATGTGATGTTGGGTGGTTATGGTGTTGTGTAGTGGTGTTGGTGATGGCGTGGTGGTGGTGTTGGTGATGGCGACGTGGTGGTGGTGTTGGTGACGGCGGCGTGGTGCTCACCTCACCAACACCTCTGGCCGGCTTAGCGTCACCAACCATCAGTTCACGCAACGGTGGCCGCCAAATGAAGGATTACAGAGTGTTGGAGGCGTGTAACCGCCAGGCCGGCCAGCCAGCTCCGCACCCCGCCACCCACTTTATCCTCGCCTCTCACTACCCGGCCATATCTCGCCTCGCCTGGCCTCGTCCGGCCTCGCCCGGCCTCGCCCGGCCTCGTCCCACCTCGCCCGGCCTCGTCCCACCTCGCCCCACCTCGCCCAGGCCTGCAGTGAAGCCTACGTCTTGGGGAGTCTCCAATCTGTCCTGCTCCCCCCTTCCTTTAAGGACATTGTGCATGTTCAGTTATGTACACCTATGCCCTGCTGTACCTATTTGTGTACAGCTGTACCCACACGTTCCCGACTGTATCATACATATGCCCAGCTGTACCCACACATAGCTGGGTACATCTGTACCCACTTGTGCCCACGAGTTTCAGTTATAAGCAACCGTTTAATGGATGAAAATTTCTCTACATTTTTTGTTTTACTTTGTGAAAAAAAAATTATTTCTTAATAATGCAAAATTATATGTATGGCGTAAATTAATGACACAGTAAATACCAAGTTGAAATTATGTATTCTTAGTGAGCATATTTTGTAAGGTAAATTACAAAAAATATTTTATCAAGTCCATTAGGGCTCTTATATAACAATTTCAGGCTACACACACATATATATATATATATATATATATATATATATATATATATATATATATATATATATATATATATATGTATGTATGTATATATATATAGTATCCTTATGGTTGAGTCGGTTGTGAGCGCGTGTGTGTGTCTGGGGGAGTCCAGAGGTGAGAGTTCGATCCCATTCCATTATCTCAAGATTTTCTCATCAATCACATATTGACCCATACTGACGTCGCCTTACGTGTTTGTGTTGCAGAGTCTGGCATGAGTGTTGGCAGTCCTGAGGTGTCCCCAGGAGGAGAGGGCGACTCCGCCACCTCCCCCGAGTGTCCTGATCAACACACTGATCCCTTCGACCCTGACAAACCCCGTAAGGTGAGCCGCTTCTGCCTCTCATACTCCCTACTGATGCACTGTTAGTCTACGCCACAGTATTACCTCACTTTTAGTCTATCATAGTGTACTCTTACCTCACTTTTAGACCACATCAGTGTCATCTTACCTCACTTTTAGACCACATCAGTGTCATCTTACCTCACTTTTAGACCACATCAGTGTCATCTTACCTCACTTTTAGACCACATCAGTGTCATCTTACCTCACTTTTAGACCACATCAGTGTCATCTTACCTCACTTTTAGACCACATCAGTGTCATCTTACCTCACTTTTAGACCATCAGTGTCATTTTACCTCACTTTTAGACCACATCAGTGTCATTTTACCTCACGTTTAGACGGCAACAGTGCCATATCTTTCCCTTTTAGATCACAACAGTGCAATATTATCGCACTTTTAGACTAACACAATGACTGTTATCCACCAATTCACAACCTATGTCAGACCAGCTCAAGAATGTTCAGCCCGAGCATGGAATCCCAACTTTGGGAAGCACAAGAAGATTTAATAATGCCCAGAGGTTTGTTATCGAGCTGGTACCAGACATAATGAAACTTAAGCAACGAAGACAGGTTAAAGGAGCTCAACCAAACAGACACAAGAAGAGAGAGAACGACCTTAGAAGATATGATCACAACGTATAAGATACTGAGGGGAGGAGTAGACAGGGTTGACAGGAACAAGGCAGTACAGGACGAGCTCGGATACATTAACGTGTGGAAAAGATACAATAAAGCTTTCATTTGCTGTAGTAAAGAAAGGAAGCTTTCATTTGCTGTAGTAAAGAAAGGAAGCTTTCATTTGCTGTAGTAAAGAAAGGAAGCTTTCATTTGCTCTAGTAAAGAAAGGAAGCTTTCATTTGCTCTAGTAAAGAAAGGAAGCTTTCATTTGCTGTAGTAAAGAAAGGAAACCAGCTAAGCAAGGTAGATGCTACCTCCATGTACATGCTCATTAGCAGACATGAGAGGTTACTGAAACGTAGGAAAGGAATAGTGGCACCAGGCTCCCTATTGCTAGGAGGCGGGGCCCAGTAGCTTGACCCCTGTTCCCTATCAGGCAATAATCAATTCAGAATTATCAACATGATTAAGAAACAGGCGTTAGGTAAAAATAGTCATTATTTATTAATTGTATGTACAGGGATGAGTACAATTACAGGTATATAAGTGTATTGTGAGTGATTGTATGAGAATGTGAGTGATCGTGGCAGTGTAATAGTGATTGTCGTAGTGTGAGTGATTGTGGGAATGTGAAAGTGACTGTGGTAGTGCGAGTGACAGTGTGAGTGATTGTGGGTGTGTGAAAGTGATTGTGATGTTGTGAGAGTGATTGTGGTAAGGTAATTATCAGGAGAAAACATTAAGCAATTACGACTACATTGCACTTGTAAAAGATATTAGGATAAGGACTTTGGATTGGACGGAGGAAAGGAATAGTGCCTAACCACTTGGACGGTCGAGGATTGAACTCCGACCTGCAATAAGCGAGACCTCCCAGTTCAAGTGGTTGGGCAGTAATTGTGGGAGTGTTTTTGTGATTGCGTTACTGTGAGAGTAATTGTGATAGTGTGAGAGTGATTTTGGTAGTGAGAGAAGGGTTGTGGTAATACATTTGCCTTCTTCCAGGAACTGATTACTTCACTCTTAGTAATTGCTTCTTTAAAGATAAATGTCAGAGGTCCGTTGAGGCTCTGTGCTGCTTCTTTTAACATACACACTGATATGTTGTCTGGTCCAAAAGCTTTAGTTACCTCTAGTGATGCTAGATGCTTACTTACTTTCTTTCTCTACTGTTTCCTCGATATTTAATAGTCTTTCATCTAGGGTTACCACTTCTTCTACCACCGGGAGGTGTCCAGGTTCAGTTGTAAACCAGAGCATGGAAGCCTGCATTAAGTTCCTCACACATTTCCTTATCGTTTTCTTTATATTCACCTTCCTTCTTTCGTAATCGAGTCATTCGGTCGTTCACTCTCATTTTCTTTACTATATGACTGTGTAGGATTTTTTTTTTTGTGGTTTCTTTGCTTTAACAACAATATCATTTTTGTAATTTCTTTCTGACACTCTTCTTATACCGTATATATATTTTTATTCGTTCCCAGCTTTGTTTCATCTATTTCCGGTTTTCCTCTGCTTTTTGACCTCTGTATTTCCTCCGTTCTCTCCTGTTTTTCGTCTTTGCTTCCTTGAACTGCTTACTGAATCATTGGTCGTTATATCCTTTCTATTTATTTTCCTTTTTGTAGGAATGAAATACTCACCAGAATCTTTGCATCTCCATTTGACTTGATCCATCATTTCTTGCACCGTCTTTCCTCTCTAAGTTCTTCCTCCCAGTGTACATTTCCCAGATACTCTCTTATCCTCATGTAATCCCCTTTTCTATTATCAACTCTTCTTTCCTTGACCCGTTGTCCCACAAATCGAAGTTTTAAGTTCGAACATATAGTCAAAGATTAGTACACAATGATCACTGGATTCTATTGGTATTTCATTTTTCAAGTTCTCCATGTCTTCCTCGGTTTGAGTAGCGATCAGGTCTAATAGGTTCCATGTATCTCCTCCCTTTCTCTCGTGTCATCCTTTTATGTTAGGAAGTTCCTCTCTGTAACTTTCCCTAATTTTGTTCACACGTACATGTGTGTGTATTATTCAGCCCGAGGTATGTGTGGGTATGTGAGGGTACGTATATTGGGTGTAGACTAGGGCAGGCGTGCACTACAGGTCTCTCTCTCTCTCTCTTCTTCTCCCTTGAAGCTGACGAGTACTGGTGCCCCTCGCCCGCAGGTCCGCCGCTCCCGGACCACCTTCACCACCTACCAGCTTCACCAGCTCGAGCGGGCCTTCGAGAAGACCCAGTACCCGGACGTCTTCACCAGGGAGGAACTGGCCATGAGACTAGACTTGTCCGAGGCTCGCGTCCAGGTGAGTTCTGGCTCAGTTTACCCTTGTTTTTAGGTCTAGTGTCATCTCGTGCTGGGGTAGGAAGATGAAGAGGGGATATTATGATGGAACCTGGGGGGGTTCAGGGTCCTCTAACCCTTCTGGACCGTGGTACTGGGGTTCTGGTCCCTCTATCCCTTCTGATTTGTGCTTCTGGGGGTTCAGGTTCCTCTATTTCGGCCTTCTGTCTCTCCTCTTGTGTCGTAATCCAGGAAAACTTGCTGCCTCTCGTCCTTCTCATTCTCTATGTGACAGGTTCTGTGGTTCGGACTTGAACCACAGAACCTGGTTCCGGAGGTCTGTGCCTGTCCTCTGCTGATGGGTTGTGTAGGGTTCAGGTCAGTCCTGTTTCCTTTCATATATATTTGTTGTATTTCATGTTCTATTTTCTATTGTAGGTTAAATTTGCTTCATAGTACATCGTTAAACTATTACTCTTAAGATACTGTTATCATAATTTGTTATATTATGCGATGTTTAGTCCTGGAACGTATGAGTGTATCAGGACCTCGGTGTACAGTGGACGTTTTTGTATGTGGATTATGTGTATGTGTAAGAAACGAGGGGAGAGGTTGTCTGTGGGATGTGGGTAGGTGTGTGTGTGTGGGGGAGGGTACGTCTTTGTCTTTGTATGTGGTGTGTGTGTGTGTTTAGGATGTGGGTGCGTGTGTATGGGGGGTGTCTCTGGGTTTGTATACTGTGTGTGTGTGTGTGTGTGTGTGTGTGTGTGTGTGTGTGTGTGTGTGTGTGTGTGTGTGTGTGTGTGTGTGTGTGTGTGTGTTGGAGGGTAAGGATGTGTGGGGTGCGTGTCGTGTCTGTGGGTGTGCATTGGGTATATATCTTTTATGGGAATGTGTTTGTGGGTGTTGGCGTATGTGTGGGGGTAAGGGATGTGGGAAGTGTATTTGGGAATGGATATAAGTTGAAGCGTGTTTGTGTGAGCGACAGTGGGTGAATGTAGATGTGGATGAACGGGGTTTAGATGTGGATAAACGGGTGTGTGTATATGTGATCGGGTGTGGATGTGTGTGAGTGGTTGATTGTTGACTAATTTGACATTGTCCACCTCTCGTATCTCGTAATGAAAGCATTGTCTTCACACACGGGTCCCTCCAAACTCTCACTACAAACACAAGAGGCAACTTGAGGGACAAAACACTGGTGTTTATTGTGTTGTGAGTGTTGTGTTGTGTTGTGAGGGGCACCTCACTACTCTCCTCGACCGCTGAAAGGGTAAGGCAGAATTGCCTATTTATCAGTTCGCTTTCTTATGCTATATAAGGCACAAGAGTATTATGAGCCTCTTCCTGTCTTCCTTCTCCTCTTTCCCCACCTCGTCCTCCTCCTTCTCCTCCATCTCTCTCTCTCTCTTCCTTATCCTTCTCCCCCCTTCTCCTCTTTTCCATCGCCATCTTTTCTTCCTTCTTTCAATCTTGCTGTACTTTCCTTCAATGTCCTCATTTCTATCTGACCTCTCATTCCCTCCTCTTCTTTCATTTACTCTCCTCTCACTCTCCCCTCACTCTCCCCTCCCCTCCCCTTACTTCCGACGCTCCCCTCACTCTGGTGGAGGGTCGTCTGAAATCAGCAGCAGCAACAATGGTACTCCTGCATCACCACTATAGTTGTGTAATTAGGAATTAATGACCTACCAACTGGCCCACACCCACACACACACACACACACACACACACACACACACACACACACACACACACACACACACACACACACACACACACACTCATTTTATCATGTATCAGGGAAATAGTTACTTGTATTGGGGCTCCCCACATCAAGACGTATTAGAACTCACGACAAGAACTTCTGTTAAGAACTCACAAGAACTCTCGTGCATCGTTTACCACAATTGTGATCTCTCAACAGGCGACAACCTCTAGTGCATTAATGTCGAATGTGGCCAGAAACTCCGTGCAAGATTTCTTTAGTAAACTGGTGTGAAATTGTGATTTTATTTTTTTTTTTGCTAACTCAGGTTGTAGGCATTTGTGTGTTATTGTTTTATTTTTATTTTATGGTTGTATTTTGTGAGTTTGGGGCAATGATAGTTGGAATAATGTAATTACAGTTGGAATATTAGTAATTGTGAGACTATACTAATGGTATTATTTATTGAATTACTTATACTGTAACTTAGGATGATTATTTTTATTGAGATATACTAATAGACAAAGACAGAGACAGATAAAGATATATCTACGGAAGATAAAAAGAGATAGAGAGAAGAGAGAGACGAGAGACGAGAGAGAGAGAGACAGAGAGGAGAGAGAGAGAGAGAGAGAGAGAGAGGGGAAGAGAGCGCGAGAGGGGGAGTGAGAGAGAGAGGAGAGAGAGAGTAGAGACGAGAGAGAGAGAGATGAGACAAAGACAAAGGAGAGAGAGAGAGAGAGAGAGCGAGAGAGAGAGAGAGAGAGAGAGAGGAGCGAGAGATGAGAGACGAGAGACAGAGACAGAGAGCAGAGAGCAGGTTCTGTCTCGTGTTGTTGATGAGGGGAACAAAAGACAAGAGAAGAATGACTCCCCAGCACACACCCTGGCAGTTGTCAGTGGCAGCACAACGGGCTGCCCACCCCACCTCAAGTTTGCACCCTTTTGTGTGTGTGTGTGTGTGTGTGTGTGTGTGTGTGGGTGTGTGTGTGTGTGGGTGTGTGTGTGTGTGTGTGTTGTGTGTGGGTGTGTGTGTGTGTGGGTGTGGGGTGTGTGTGTTTGTGTGTGTGTGTGTGGTGGTGTGTGTGTGTGTGTGTGTGTGGGTGTGTGTGTGTGGGTTGTGTGTGTGTGTGTGTGTGTGTGTGTGTGTTGGGTGTTGTGGTGTGTGTGTGTGTGTGTGGGGGTGTGTGTTGGGGTGTGTGTGTGTGTGTGTGGTGTGTGTGTTTGTGTGTGTGTGGTGTGTGTGTGTGTGTGTGTGTACTCAGTAGTTGTGCTTGCGGGGTTGCGTTTTGGCTTTTGGTCCCACCTATCAACTGGTGTACAGATTCCTGAGCCTACGGGCTCTATCATATCTACATTTGAAACTGTGTATGGAGTCTGCCTCCACCACATCACTGCCTAATGCATTCAATCTGTTAACTACTCTGACACTGAAAAAAAGTTCTTTCTAATGTCTCTGTGGCTCATTAGAGTACTCAGCTTCTACCTGTGTCTTCTTGTTCGTGTTCTGCCTGCGCTAAAGACTTTGTCTATGTCCACCCTGTCAATTGCCCTGAGAATTTTGTAGGTGGTTATCATGTCTCCCCTTACTCTTCTATGTCTTGGTCTGACATAAGAACTACTCACGTGTCAGAGTAGTTAATAAATGGAATGCATTAGACTGAGATGTGGTAGAGGCTGACTCCATACTCAGTTTCAAGTGCAGATATGATAGAGTCCAGTAGGCTCAGGAACCTGTACACCCTTTGATTGACAGTTGAGAGGCGGGACCAAAGAGACAGAGCTCAACCCCGCAAGCACAAATAGGTGAGTACAAATAGGTGAGTACACACACACCCCCACACACACACACACACACACAACACACCCCCACAACACACACACACACACACACACACACACACACCAACCACATACACACCCACACCCCCCCCCCCCCCACACACACCCACCACACACACACACACCACACACACACACACACACACACACACCACACACACCACACACACACACACCCACACAAACACACACACACAACACACACACCACACACACCCCACTTGCTATGCACCTCCCCGTCACCCACCACCAAATCAAATTGCTCAACAAATCTGAGTTTGGAGACTTGCTTACCTTAGCTCCTCCCTCTGCTTGCTTCCAGCATGGAAGGGAAGCTAGTGGAATGAGCAAGGAATGAAAGTGGAAGCGAAGGAAGTTGAGAATATGGGAAGGGAGGAGAAAGAAAATGCAAGGATGGAGTGATAGGAATAGTATTGGATGGAAGGATGAAGATGTAGATGAAGGGAACAACGAAGATGGATATATAAAGTGGAGGACGGATAGGAGTGATCGAGACGGTTATCAGGAACGAAAAGGTAAGGATGGAGGGAGAAAGCGATGTAGGAAAGAAGTAGGGAAATGAGGGAAAGAAAGCAAGTACTAAACAAAATCAGAGTGTAATATATATATATATAGATATATATATATATATATATATATATTATATATATATATAATATATATATAATTATATATTATATATATATCTATGTCGTACCTAGTAGCCAGAACGCACTTCTCAGCCTACTATGAAGGCCTGATTTGCCTATAAGCCAAGTTTTCTTGAATTAATATATTTTCTCTAATTTTTTTTATGAAATGATTAAAGACCCATTCATTATGTATGAGGTAATTTTTTTTTTGGAGTTAATATTAACGTAGATATATGACCAAACCTAACCAACCCTACCCCTAACCTAACCTATCTTTATAGGTTAGGTTCGGTTTGGTAGCAGAAAAAGTTTGGTAGGTTAGGTAGTCGAAAAAAACATTAATTCATGAAAACTTGGCTTATTAGGCAAATCGGGCCATGCAAAGTAGGCTGAGAAGGTGCGTTCTGGCTACTAGGTACGACATATATATATTCATATATATATATATATATATATATATATAATAATATTATATATATATATATCTATATATAATTGGGACAGTGTCAGACGACGGAGGAAGAACTGAAACAGGAATTTCCTTAAGTACTTTCGTATTTAATATAAAAATACATCTTCAGAAGGGTGTTACTTTCGTGATTTACACACCACACACACACACACCACACACAGATATATTATATATTATATATATAGATATATATATAATATTATATAGATATATACGAGATATATATATATATTATAATGTATATCTATTATATTTTATGACTGTTTTCTGCCGACCTTAATGTAGAATATTACTAGCTGTTGTTATATACAACTCTTCGAAAAAATAAACACCTAGCTATCAGATTC